ATAATTAAGAAAAATAATAATGAAAATTTGAAGAATTAATGAAGTAAAAGGCAATCGACCTTAAAGTAAACTTTACCTTTGAATTGCAAATTGATCGTTGATGACACTTAAAGAGTCTATTCATGATTTTCCATTTGATCTATACTAACCATGAAGCATAGATTAACTCTCTTCTTCTTACTTAATCATCGGACACATAAAATATGCAATTGAATCCTAATTATCGAACCATAAAAAATAAGATCTTTACATATAATTCAATAACAACATTAACAATTTAAAGAACAATCAAAATAGATAATCAACACGAGAAAATGGTTGGTTTAACTTGTACTCTTTTCTTCTAAAATTATAATGATATCAATATTAGAAATTACTTAATCCTATTGCTACTTATGAATAGGTTTCACAATGATTACTTATTATAATCCCTAATTTAACAATTTTTCATTGCTCATAATTACCTAGCGAGTACTCCCGAGTAATTATAACAAGAATATGATTCAATTGATTTAGAAGGATAAGAGATAATAAATATGAATAGATTATAAAATTAAATCAAAAAGGTCTCACAACTTGTTCTTCGAACTTACGTTCTCTTAAACTCGAATAAGAAAAGTTTAGTCTTGCATCTTTAAGAAAAATGTTAGTAAATAAATTAAGTTCTCTCTAAAATTAAAGGTATCTGAATTTCCAGTCCTAGATGTTATTTATACATATCAAGAGATAAATATGACAACTAACAAGTCATATTTAAGCTTGTTTTTAAATTTGACTAAGATTTGTTTTCCGAATGGGACTCTAAGTTATGTTCGAAACTTTTAAATTAATTTAGGGTTTGAAGGCAGCATAATTTGGACTCAAGCTTTTATAAAGATTGTAGGCCTAGATGTCTTATTTCTATATGGTCTTGAATCATCTCAATCTAATATGTATAACTTTAGATATGGTCCAAATACTATACAATATTTTGGACTCGTCATGGAATCCAACTTTCCTTTAAATTTCTTTCCTAATTTTACAACTAATTTTGATAGTCCAAAACAGAATGAATTTGTGTGCTTAAATCCAATCTGAAAAGTTTAAGATGTCCACTTTGATTCTCAAGAATGCCTCTTTTATGTTCGAAGCTTTAAAAATGTAAAATCTTCATTTAATCCTTTAAAGGTCAAATTTTCAGAATTAGAATTTTTGCCCAAATTAAAACATGTTTATTCATTTAACTTTTAAATCATAAAATAAACTTAATTCAATACATAAAAGCTAAAATCACAAGAAAATGACTATATATATATATATATATATATATTGTCAATAATGCGCACTATTAAGTTTCTATAAGCAACTTGAGGAACCACCTTCTTCTTCTTCTTGCAAAAGTTTATAACGAGTAGATTTTGACATCGACCAAAAAATCTCTCTTGTTTATTAAGAAACAGTATACTTGAAAGCAATTAAAACTACAAGCCTTAATTAATTGCATTAACTGTGAATTTTGTAGCTGAGTGTTAGGAATCCTTTGCCCTCTCCGTTCTTCCATATCAATTAACTTGGCGCCAAAGACTCACGTGAGCTCAGGTAACCATATATTGCTTCCTTTTTATAAATTATTAAATTATTTTATTGTCCCATTTTATTTCTAATTAGGTTTAATTATTTTCATCAAAAAATATTTTAAGACTTTTAATTTCTTCATCAGGATTTATTATTATTATTTATAAGCCTAACTGAAGAAATTTATATTTGTATCTTACTCAATGGGATTGTTCTTGCTTGTTTCAATTGAATGAAATGGACATCTTTTTTATGAAATGATTAATAATAGAAAGGAATAGTAGCTAAAATGCGTTAGTGGCTTGTTTATGAGATGATTAATAATTAGTTGTGCATTATATATCACTACCGCAAAGTTTTTTTTTTTTTTTTTTTTGATAAGTCAAAGATTAGATAATTGAAAAGCATTAGGGCAAGAAGCAACGGATGTTCAACAAGAAACTAAATACTTACAAAAGAAACAGCTGCAAACGAAGCAGCATAGTACACCTAATCGCACAATATAGTAGAGTACATTAGAATAATTAAAAAAAATCTAGGAAAATGCAGTTTTTTTTCTTTTTGATAAATGGTTCTATGTATATATCCTTATATAATCTTATATAATAGGCTTATATTTCTATTTGGATCTATTATGTTTATATATAGTTTTTAATTATCTAATTAATCTTTCTGATTACTTTGTTTGAACAAAACTCACATATAAATCACATGATCAAAGTTTATTTTTAGAATGCTCCTGAATAAAATGTAAAAAATATATATATATTTATATTTCTTATGATATTTATTATGTCTTTATATAATATTTAATTCTTTAATATGTCATTTAGTGAAGCTTTTCCATCCAAATTGGTATAATTATATTTTTCATTCTAAGATTTCCCTTCAGCGAGAGGCCAAAAAATAAAACTACTTTTGGCCATCGAGCACTCGAATATTTTTAAATGCTCCCAAGTGCCGACTGTTCACCACTGATCTAGTTTGCCTCAGAGGATTTGTGGGCATATGGAATGGAACTGAATGTTATCATCTTCCGAAGGCTTAGTACAAAAAGAGGAAAACATAAAACAAAATAAAAAAGTCAATGGAAAGCTGTCAAAAGCCAACATATTATTACAGTTAAAAATGGATAAAGAAAATACAAATTTTTTAAAAAAATATTTAATTATTTATAATGTATCTTGCAGAAGTGAAGAATGCACCTTTAAAATCGTCGAGAGAAAGAGTTAATCTCGTATAATGGTAAGATTGACTATTTTATAAATGAATAAAATAATAAATAAATAAGAGGCTTCTCTCACGCTTGGCTATAATATATATAAATTTAGGTCGAAGCCTTATACTTTTCACAAAATTGTTAGACCATGCTCCATTTCACCTCTTATTCATGTAGGCCGAGGATCATATGTTTTCACCTGGGCTTTTCGGCCCAATCAACGAAAGTAGGGCAAAGCACATTTTCATTCCTCTAGTTTTCTATTTCACTTACCAGCCACGATAAATTTTATAATACTCAAAGAATAGTTAATAGAATGTACAATAGTTATTTCATGGATTTATATTGAAAAGAGAGATATACATATAAAAAAGAGAGAAAATTACATTCGAATTTATCAAAAGTGATAAGAAGATTTTCACGTTACAAGGCAATGAAAATGTGTTAAGCTTGCAGTGAGATTTGTCCATAGAAGGAAAGGAAAGACAGGTGCAAGGCTGAATGAGGATGGGCTGAATTTGGAAGAAGTGGATCAGGCTTAAATTTCAAGGCCCAAATAATAGAAAATTCATATTTCCTAGATTCTTCTTATATTATTGGGCTTTCATTGTTGAGCTTTTGTTTTGGATCAATCTCCAACAAAATGGCCTGAGTTGATACCTTGTTATTTATATATGAGCTTTCTTTTCTTTCTTTTCCCACGGCGTGGAACTTCCAGGAGAATAAGTCCCCTGCGTCAACCAGGTACAGGGAATTTACACGTGTCATTTATATCCTTATTATTCTTCAATTAGGTTCTTTCTTAATAATTTTATTAAAGTTTATCTAAATTGTATCATTTCTCTTAAATTTTGATAACAAAAAAAATTAATTGAATATGTAATGAAAAATATAAAATGTATCTCTCTTTCTCTCATTTCTTAATTTTTAATGGTACGGATTTTTAAAAAATTATTTCAATCGATAAACAACGCTAGTTAATTGAATTTAAAAAGGATGTTTGATCACTTAGGTTTGATTGTTTGCACATATTGTTAGGTTTTTTTGTTATTTCTTCATTTTTAATGGTACAAATTTTTAGAAATTTATTTCAATCGATAAACAACATTATCAATTGTTAATTGGATTTAGTAAGGATGTTTGACTTAGATAGATGCATGTAATATAAACTGAATTTGATTTACATATAAGGTTAGAATTTAGTTCTTAAACAAATTGAGACTTGATATGCTCAAATGTAAAAACAACAAGAATTGAGAATTTTTTTCCCCTCTATTTTTAATGGTACGATTTGCAAAGAAAATATCAATATAATTTTTCAGTTTATTTGTGAGGTAAATTATAAATCAGTCCCTATAGTTTCAAAAAATGAATTAATTTATTTATTTGTTTCAAAAAGTAATTATTTAGTCCTTTTATTCATTTTATGTTCTTTTCTAAATTTTTCTGTTTAAAAAATAATAATAAATGGATATTTATGGAAAGATGGATAAAAAAGAAAACAATTTTTTAAAATAATATAATATTAAATGAAATGAGATCAATACTGATCAATAAATTAAATAATTAGTTTTGAAAAACTAATTAATTCATTTCTCAAAACTAGAATTAGTAATTTATAATTTACTACTCATCTGTGTAGTCCCAGATGCTCTTTTCATATTTATAGAGTAAACTTGCAACAAAAGCAAATGTGAAAGTATAATAGATATTCGATAATTTGTGTAATTGTGTCCTTCATTACTGTCCAGGGTGGAGAGAATAACATGAAAAATGGCAATGGGATCATGCTGGTTTAGTTAATCCAGCCATCAAAAAATTGGTATGATCCTTGCGGAGGTTGTTGCTTTCTATTAAAATCTGGGCAAGGCCATACATCTAATTTTGAAGCTATCTTTTGGCAAAAAAAATGTATGTAGGAGCATGGCCAAATATGCATTCCCCTACGGCTAGCCACAGGAATTACTCCATAAACTTGGGTCATAATAAAATTGGCCTTTCTCAAATAACATCTCCCTTGTCTGATGAACTTCTTTTTTTTTTCTTTCCTTTCTTAAAAAATTAAACTGGTACACCTCAAACATGAGAACCATCTTTCATGGTTAGATGGTAAAACTAAGAATTGATTTGTTGTAAGGAATGTGCAAACTACAAAAAATGAGATGCTATATTTCATAATTTATGCACTTTGGCATCAATTTATAATCATGAACAGCGCACGTACATATTAGATATCCAAATCATCATCCGGGTCCTCATCAGAATCTGGCATCTCATCATCTGAATCACGAAAATATATTATCTCACCTTCACCAGAGTTCTCAGTTCTTTGTGAATTCTCACTAGAAGAAAGAGTTGCCTCGGTTTTGCTCTCTGTAAGAGATCTTCGACCATCATAGATTTGAATAGGCTTACCAGTTCCTAAAGATAGCACAAGTGAACGTTAAGAATTGTTGCAGAAAAGCAAGCATTTTGTAATTTCTAAGATTAAATAATCTCACACTCATTCATAAAAGTACAGGAATCAAATCTATTAATCAATCCATATTTCCACACCTTGGTGCTCAAATGGCAGTACAACCTTAGCCCTGTCAATCCGTTCTTTCTCTGATAACTCTAGATTAAACTGCACCTGTTTATATGAAGCCCCAGTTGCAGATAATGAGTTAAGTTAGACAAACTAAATATGCTATCTTGAGTGTAGGCATGTGCATGAATGCATCCACAACAGTGTGCTTTGCTCGAGAACATACACTTGTGTGTGTGTGTGTGTGTGTGTATGTGTGTGTGTGTGTGTGTGTGAGAGAGAGAGAGAGAGAGAGAGAGAGAGAGAGAGAGAGCACTCCACACTGACTGACCTTTGGCAAAAGACTTTGATTAACCAGTACATCTTCTGATGAAACAGATGTAAAACTGATGCCTAACTGATCGATATGAAATCCTTCCATCTAAAAACAGAACAAAACTTTATTATAGCATTTTGATGCTTCATAATCAAGGGCACCACCAGACCCTACCAAAAAAAAAAAAAAAAAAAGAACAGAGAAAGAGAGATTCACCATCACACGAACACGCCCATTTCGGCGCTTGAATCGGACTTGAAGCTTTCCTTTCCCAAAGTTATGTTTCAACAAAGAAAGGCTTTCCAAATCCCCTCTGTGTCCAATAGCAGTTTGATGGAGTGGTTCTACACTGGCCACCACAGAGGACAAATATTCAAGAACAGATGTAACTTTGACTTCATGAAGGTCTGAATGTAACAACCAAAAGATGCTAGAAATCTGTTCTGCAACCATGAAACAACAGAGAATATATGCCCAATATTAAACCACATCAATTTCATGGAATCCCTTCTGCAAATCCCAAAGGATTCAGATTTATTTAAAATGAAAGGCAAACCATTAATTTTTATGTATTTAAACACCAAAGTTATAGTGCTTGTTCTCAGCCAAGTGATGGTACAAATATATCAAAAGAAAAGAGTGCATAAAAACTGCCTATAATTAGAGAAAGTCCGAAAACAGCATAAATGCTTGTACCATGGCTACGAAGGTTGCTTAAAAGGCCTGCAACTGTTGATGTAGATGTATGTCTTAGCATTTCATTTATCTGGTTAAAATTGTGAAGGACCCATCAGAATGAAATCATAGAAGAAAAGGAAAAGAACAGGAGCAAACATATGATCTGTAAGATGTAAAAGACTGCTCAACATTAGAACTGAGCATTCTGGACTTGTCATGCTGTTATTAGAATTTTATGAAAGAACAAACTCCCACAACCTCAATATCTCATAAGTTATACAAAGCTATTAAATTATGAAAAAAAAAAAAAGATTACAATTATTCTTTCATCAGCATATAAATATACTTTGTATTGATTGAATAACTGTAACAATGAAGCCTTGTGCCATTCCCAAAGGAAAGCCAACATCATATCTATGTCCTAGGATTCGTTCTTCTGCATTAGAACATGCCTCGAGAAATAAGGGCAATGATTTGGATAGCAATCAACACATTCTCTGGGCTTCAATAAGCACTGGAAATGTGAGCATGCCTGCTCAACTAAAACAAGACAAAGAAGCACTATGAAAGTACTTTTTGGAATCTTTTGATCTGAGAAAAATATTTCAAATTTATTCCAGAGGAGTTAGGAAAATACAAAAAATTGTAATTGGATCCATCCATTTCAGCATATAAACCTCCTTATCTTCTAATTAGGACACTAGACATAGAATCCCTAATAATGCCTTCACTCTGGCTAAACCTATCCACATCAGGTTTGTTGGGAAAACACTGGCACCTCACAGGAAGTTTCCACAGGTCACGTCCCAAAAAGAACGATAATATCTAACACAGGCATCCGATATTGTAAACCAGAACACTTCTTGGTTCACGCCAGTACTTGCCAAGAAGTTTCCACACAGAAAAGCAACCTACGGTCCATTTGTATAAATTTACCCACATAAGAAAGTGAAACTTAGCTGCAGACCTAAAGCAATAATTTACTAGAATATCATTAGACCACACCAGCAAGTTCACTTAAACTTCATTTAAACTTAACAACGATGGCCTTAGCCCCAATTTTGAATATTCTATATTAGTAATAAGAACTTTTACAGTTATTAGAGATTCAAATTTGCAGGTTGCAGAATTACCGAATCTATGGCAACAGAGAAACGATCCTTTCCTTGTCCAACCAATCCTGCAAGCAAAATCACAAAAACTACCACAAATCACCCAATAGACAGCACAAACAGTTCTTCTAAGGAAAATGCTTATCAGAACCAAATTTGTTTCCATTTCCATATTTGATAAAAACCAAGCAACGACAAATTTTCATGCAGAACTAACCTTTCCCCAGTTCAAGAATCGAAGAGTACAACTTGTCTAAATCCTTCACATCCTTACAAACACTACTCAAACTGGAAGAAGCTTCGTATGAAACATCTGTGAAATTTCCCGACCCCATAAGCTGATCCTTCCAACCGAGCGGATCCGTATAACAATCCAAAATCTGAATCCTACAACAATAATAATTCAGCCCCACTTGGCCCCACCCATAAATCATTTCATAAATTCTACAATCACACAAATAACACAATTTAAACTAAATTTTCTTTGCATTTCCTTCACTTGCTCAGTAACCAAACAGAGTGTATTACTAAAAAAAAGTTAAAAACTTGTTACCATTTATGAGATGAATTTACATCAATTCCTCTTCTCTTCAGTAAATCCGTGTAAAACGACGGGCTCCGTGAAAACGCAACAATCACGAAACCACTGCAACATCAATCAATCAATTAATAAAATTAATAAGAACAACATGAAAGACCAAAAAAGGCGTGGTTTTGAATTGGACTGACCGGGACTGGGATTTGGAGGCCAAAATGAAGGAGGAGAGCTGGGAGAGCACGTGAGAAAAGACGTGGAAACCGAAAGGAGAAGCTGTAGTGTCTTTGATTGTGAGAGCTGGTGCTTGCTCTCCTTCTAATGATCCGTCTCGGAGAGTTCTACACATTGATTCTGCCATTGTTGAATGTCAGTGATTTGGAGAGTTTCGAAAGTTGGAAGGAAAACCCTAGGGCTTTGAAAAGATTTTGGCGGGTTTTGTGATTAGGTTGTTGAATTTTTATGTTATTGCTAAATGACCCAGGATTTGGGATTTGGGATTTTCGACTATTTTTTATTTGTGTACTTTGTTAAAACCATTATTTCTCACAAAATTGCTGCATGTATTTTTTTATATACCAAAATGAGTACAAATTATTTAGTCCATTATAAAAAAGAAAATATTTTTTCCAAGAGTACAACGGCCATACGTGCATAAGAGATTTAATAAATAAATAAAATGTCTGAAACAAAAATAAAAAAACTGAATTATTTTGTAATATTTGATTTTATTGTGAGTTAAATTATTTTTTATATGAGGTATTGGCTCCCATATTAAATGAATTTATTCATTCATATTTGTTTATCTAATTATTCTAGAGAAACCTAATAATAATAATTGTAAAAATATCTAAGTGTTGATTCTATTTTGAAATCGAACATGTGAAGAATTAGCTTATATATGTGAAAACGGATCAATAATACCCTATTAATAAAGTTGGAATGATATAATTTGCATGGATTAATTAGGTAACTTGTACATATAATTATCTCATTTGCAATATGCTTATTTATATTAATTATATTTTTCTACAAATAAACCCGGTGTTCGTTTGATAATCGATAATAGAATCTTGAAAATGAGAATGAAAGTTTTATTTCCACGTTATAACTCGTTTGATTAAAATGAATGAAGTGTGAATAGGAATGAAAATTTACACACAACTTCATTCTCACATAAGATGTGGGAATAAAAACAAGGAATAAGAATGAATTTTTTTCTTCAAAATAATAATATATTTTATTTATTTATTGTTTATTAACTACTTTTACTATCACCACCACCACTAAAATCACCACTCGTCATAACCACCACCATCATCTTTATTATTTTTATATCTATTATAGTTTGATAAAATTATTTTTTTAATTATTATTTTTATTTGTATAAAAAATCGGATATTAAAAAATTTAAATTGCATTCTTATTTCTCATTAATATTCCAAACACAGTATAAAAATACAAATGTTATTCGATTCCTTAATTTTCATTTTGATTTATGCATTTTCATTCCTATCGCTCTATTCTCGATTACCAAACAACATTTCGTAATAACACTCAATTAATGATCTTATATGTTCTTGTATTTTTTATTTTTTATACATTAGATCTTTTATCAAAAACTCTCTTATAACATTAGTCTTTCGTTTTAGTTGTTAATTTAGGAATATTTATATTTTACATATGCTATGAATATTTAACAAAAAATCATGAAAATATAAAGAAGTAGCTAGAAATTATAAACCTAAAAAAACATAAAATAAAACAAAGACAAAGATTAAGGTTGTGACTCTTACCAAACCCATGAAGCAGATTGTGACTCTTACAAATAAATTACGAGTAGCAAATCAAAATCAAAAGGGCAGATTGTGACTCTTACCAAACCCATGAAGCAGGAACTTGCAATCATTGGATTGACTAAAGGATTAAGGTTATAGCCCAAATGATTACTTTAATCATAAAATATATTTGTTCTATTTCATACAAAATTTCATCCATGTATTATTATTATATCCCAAGTAGTTGGACATAAATATACATGTTATCCTGGTTGATTGGAGTAAAGAAAAACAACAATTTGTTTTTTTTTATCCAATAGTCTAGCACAAAAGATAATTTTTTTTTTTTTTTGGGTTATGGAACTTCCTCGATCGTGATTCCCAAAAGCAATGCACTAGCCTGCCTACTACTTCCAACTTGAAATGAGAATATGCCAATGCAGCAAAGAATTGAAAGTGACATTTTCAGTAAGGTCAGAAAATGGAATCATAAGAACAAGGTGTAAAGGACAGGCTTTTAGAATAGAATAAAAAATAAAGAGAAGAGGGGTTAATTTTGTGGAGTGTACAAAACAAAAGTAGATCTTAGCTGCGGTGGCATCTGGCACGATGTGGATTGGGAATGGAATCCATCCACACGATCCACCCATGCCCTGTGAGTTTCACGTGTTCATAACAGAAGACTTTTCTCAAGCGGTGTAGAATAATTGAAGGAGTAAATTCATTTAAGTCCCATGTATTGCACAATGTTTCACTTTAGGACATCTTGCCTTTTACAAATCATAAAACTAAAAAATTTACCTCTCTCACTTTTATTTTGGGAGTAGATGATCAAATTGCATAAAACTGTTGTTTGAAACAATTATAGATTTCTAAATCCTTTTAAATAAATTTTATGTTTGTGTTGCTTTTTCTTCTTTGAATAAAAGTTTACAACTAATCTAATTATTGATATCATCACGTCATTAAAAAAAAAAAGTTTAACGGTGTTTAATAGATGATCGTATTTTTTAAATATAATTATGCGATAAATTTATTTATTACGTGATGGATATTCAATAGATAGTTTTTTTTAATATAATTATATGATATATTTATTTATTACTTGATGGATATTCAATAGATAGCTTTTTTAGTATCTCTAACATTGTCCTTTTTTTTCATAATTATAGTAGAAAGTTGGAACCTTCTCCACTTTGTAATAATCTATCATCTTGTATTATTCTATTCTTGGTGGGCCTACGACTTTTTCTTTATCTTATCATAAATTTTGTGGCAGGTGCAAAAGTATTTTATCCTCATAAATTCAAGGATAAAATTGGAATCAAGACACAACTTGACAACTTATTTCCTATGGATTGAACTTGAATGCTCATCAAATGGATATTATAGATTGAAGAGTACGGGGGTGAGAAATGTTGTTCAAGTTGGAGACATTAGACAGAGTAAAGGACGGAAATAGTCCTAAAGCGAAACACTGTACAATATAAGGGACTTTTTTGACCTTTACAAAATCCAAATAAAATAAAAGTTTTTTCACAGAAATTGATGAAAGAAAATGTTAATTAACACAGAACACTATTGAAGTCAAACGTTATTCATTTATTAATAAAGGTGCAACCTTTTTACGATATTGAAATGATAACTACAGAAATTCTTTTTGGAGAAGAAAATGACAGGTATTTATTTTTATTAAATTAGGTAGCTGGATGTTCTCATCATAGGATGGCGACCCCGTATCCAAGTCACATGGTCTTGATAAGTTTTTGTGTCGCTAAGCCTGAAAAAGTTAGCATTTTACTAATTCCACGCCAAACCCACGTAACACAAACCGACGTTCTTCACCGACAAATCCTTGATTCTAACGGTGTTCGACATTTTCTAGTACGAGATATCCAACGCTTTGTGCTTTTCTCCTTTTTTTCCTTTTATTTTAAGTCACCGATTAAATTTACTCTCATTATCCCTGTACTATTTGATATTATTTATTTAATATTTTTATTCAAACATGGGATAAAACATTATTTGATTAAATTAAATTTATTATTTTATTTAACGTTTGACTAATTATATAATGACATATAATTAATAAAATTATATGAAAAGTTTGTTTAACTCTGAAGAGTTGAAAATTTGTCATGTGTCAAAAATAAATATAAAGTTAAAATAAATAATATAAAATATGGTGTGAATTTTATCATTTAATTCGTAGTTTTTTCTTTTTAAATTGTCTATCGTTAAAATTTTAAAAGAATTTCTTAAAGTGATAATGGTCTCTACCTGATCGACAACTGCCTGATCGAGAGCCACCAAGCAAGGGACCTGCCCCATTGATATTTTTTCAAAATACCAGTAATTAAAATGAATTTTGTAAAAAAAGATTCAAATACAATTTTAACAAATACTGATATGATATAAAAATTATATTTTTTAATTTGTATGAAAGTTAAAAAAAAGTTTTTTTTAAATAAAAAGAATATTTTAGATAAATTACTGAAGCTTAAACTAATAAATACATGTAATTTTTTTTCATGATCCCCGTCCAAATTTGAGATAATAATATAAAAAACAAATTTACTTTATCAGCGAAATCTTATATTTTAATATTTTATTTAATTATCAAAGATATTTTCAGTTAAATTTGCATATCGAAGCTAAAATTTCTTTTCAAGTTCCTTAAAACATTCAATGTATGAGAGAATTAAAATACTCGTGAAATTTTATTTTTTACAGTAAGTCTTAGAGATAAGATTCGATTTTTTTTTTTTTTAATCTCTCTAGAAAGCTGTCAATTGTGACGGTAACTACAAGTTTTTCAACGCATGTGCGGAGAAGATTGAGTAAATTTTAAATTAGTCTTTTCTAGTTTTTTTAAAATGAATCAAATAATCCTTCAAGTTTCAAAAATTAATTGATTAGTTCTTTTCATCAATTTTATATTTTATTCTAAGTTTTTTTTTGTTTTAAGAAATAATAAATAGATAGATATTTTAGACGGCTTGATGAAAAAAAAAACATTTTCTAAATAAATTAATTTAAAATTAAGAACGAAATACTGAATTTTATTTTTTTCAAATCAAATTTTTTTGTCAAGAATATATTCGTTTAGAGATTTTGTTTTTGTTTTCTACCAAAAGATTTTAAAGATATATTTCAACATTAAGCTGGTGTACATGTTTAGAAAAATATATTCTTTTGTATTAATTTCAAAATTCCAATTAAAAAAATCAATAAAGGACACAAACCTTCTTGACTATGCTAGGGTTTCATATCACAAAGCAGCCATGAATTATCAAATATTTTGAGCAAAATAATACTATACAAATAAATATCAAATACAACCACATACTTTTCATTGATAACTTGACACATCAATTTAAATTAAATTTAGAACAAAAATTTTTTGTTTGCAAATTATTTTTTTTAAATGTTTAACTTTTGTTTAAAAAGAACTAGCATATGTCTCGTGCATTGCTGCATGATGAACTATACAATATTCATATGTGTTCATTCATATGAATATAAAATTTAAAAATAATTATTTATGAAAAAAAAATTGAGATGAGTTATACAACATTCTTATGTATTCATTCACATAAAATAAAAAATTTAAAAAGATCACGCAAAAGAAATTCAAAAAAAAAAACCTAAAACATATATCTCATATTTTACTGTTGGGTTAGCTAAACGAAAAGTTTACAAAGTTAAGCAATATAATATTGCTAATTAGATATTGTTTGATATAAATATGTATTTTATTAGAAATATATATATAATAACTTATAATTAAAAATAATGATGTGGTAGTTTTTTGAATTTTAGATGATTAATTTTTACTATATATTTTTCATCCGTAATTTGTTAATGAGATAGAAAAACCACTCAAAACAAAAAGACAAAAAACTTTGTCAAATCGAAAATTTGGCAAAAAATAGAGATAAAATTACAAACGATAAACATTAAATGATCAAAACAAAATAAAGATCATAAAAGAAGGATAAAAAAAAACTTTCACTAAAAGCTAAAAAAAAAAAAATCTTATAAACAATAAGATTGTGAACGAGTTTTACTAAAAGCCTATAAAAAATTATTTATTATAGGGACAAAAATCAAATATAATAAAATTTTAATGATCGAATAAAAAAGTTACAAAACAGGAACTAAAATAAAAATAAAATAAAATTCTAATATTTATTGTAGGTACAAAAATGAAATACAATAAAATTTTAATAACCAAAATATAAAAAGTTTCAAAATAGAAACTAAAATAAAAATAAAATTCACTAAAACCCAAAAGAAGAGCTTAAAAAACGCAACAAGAGAGAAAAATGATTTATTATAAGGTTAAAAATTAAATATAATAAAATTTTAATAACTAAAATAAAAAAATTATAAAACAGAAACTAAAATATAATATTTATTTAAAGTCAAAAGAGAGGCTTAAAGCAGCATGATAAAGAGAGAAAAAAAAAAAAACCGATCTAAGGAATAAAAAAAAACATGACTAGTGAATGAACAGTGAAAAAACTAGATTACTTTCTCATTTTGTTTTATTTTTTTTTATAATTTATTATCAACTCAAAGAAAAAACAAAAATAGGAAAAATGCGGCCTACATTATATTATTATGTTACATCTCTCTGCAGTCAGTAATGTTATTTTTAAGGATAGGTTTTCATAATTATCCAATTATTCATCACGCATGCTATTTTGTGGAATGTAAAAACCTATTATAGGAATCTGTTGGTATTTTTTATAGCAAAGTGATCTGTCAGTTTTTCATACTAAAATTAAAATAACCTCTTAAATTCAAGTAAAATTAGTAAATTTTCTTACTTTTGATCGGCAAAAATATTCAAATATCTAATGTTAGATTTTAAGAAACTTCTATGTACAGTTCTATGCCGAGAACGTGGGTGCCTATTTAAATTTTCTTTGCTTTTTTCTAGTTTCTATTGGATTGATTCTACTTTCAAATCTCACCATTAATTTTAAATAGTATTAAATAAGAAATCTTGTTGCCTATTTAACCGTGTCCAAATCATTTTCTACCCCTAGCACAAGAAATTGCTGACAAAACAGAAACACTGTTGAGCAAGAACGAAAACCTTGGGAGATAAGAATTTAACAGGCAGGAAAGGAAACGAAAAATGCATAGTCAGATCAGACCCCACCACGTATGGTTTCCTCTATCTTTTCTCTCAAGTTTCCTTTTCTTTCTTTTTCTCAACTTGTTTCCCTCTCTCTTTTTACCCTTTCAAACACTTCAAAAACCAGCAATATCTATATATTTACACATGCTCTTTTCTTCATGGCGTTTGTTATGTTCACATCTTTAAAGTTTTCGTCTTTTTGTTTGATATAATATAGTAAAGGTCTTGTCTTTGATTCAATGGAGACTGAATTGGAGAAGAGCCACCAAGGAGGAGGACTGAAGAGACTGAGATGTTCAGTTCAAAACTATGATTGGGGTAAAAAAGGGACAGAGGGGTCTGAGGTTGCAAGGCTGTATGAATTGAATTCTGGGTCTGATATAGAATTGGAAAAGAAGAAGCCTTTTGCTGAGTTTTGGATGGGTACACATGGTTCCGGGCCTTCTTTTGTGGTGGAAAGTGGTGTGGAGAATGGGGACTCGACTGGGTCTGGAAGTTTGAGTTTGAAAGAATGGATTTTTAAGAATCCTAATGTGCTTGGTGATAAGGTTTTGGAGAAGTGGGGTTGTGATCTCCCTTTCTTGTTCAAGGTACAATCTTGTGTTTGAATTTATGTTTTGGTTGAGTCATGAGTGTGATTTCTTGTAGTTGGTTCTTTTATGATTTGGGTGAATTATGGTTTTTGCGTCTGTATATTTGATTAAATTATTATTTGTGTTTGATTAAAAGAAAAAACCTTCTTTATGTGTGTATTGATTGAGTGTTTTCCATCCTTCTTCATGATTGCAATTTATGTTTCTGTAATAGAATTGGTTGCTCTGAGAATCCAGTCTAAGGCTGTTGACAATTGGAGGGCCCTCATTTATTGGAAAGTTGTGATTTGTTATGTCCGTTTTGTTTCTACTCAGCAAATTGTCATTAGTGGCAGTTAAATCTAATTTTCCTTTTTTCACTCGCCTTCTTTTTATCAAAAAACAAAAGGCATTACCCTTTCCACTTGTCAATAGCATATAACATACCTCTTTCACACTTTGCTTTATATCACCCTTTCAAAATCTGAATTAGAATTCATGGTGACCTGTGATTGGTAGTGAGTGAAACAAGGCTTCAAAAGCAGAGATGTTTTGTTCAAAATTATAATTGGGAGAATTATTTAGAATTACTGGTTGCTTCATTTTTTGCGTTGAATTCTGTGGCTGAAGATGAAGTGGAAGGGCTCTCTGCAGAGTTCTGGATCGTATGGTGACTTTAAATTTTTACGTCCTGGATTTTGAATAATCAAATTGGTGCTTGGAAGCAAGTGGGTTGCTTCCTCTTTTTGTTTTAGGTTGTTTGATTGTACTGACTAGAAATTAGTGGTTTTCACATTTACGTTCCTGATTTTTATTTTTACTTTTATCTTTTACTGTTTAAACTAAAGATTTGGACTATCATGTGGTCGATTTTTCTCTAATTCTTTTCTCAGTTCAAATGGCTTGTTTGTGTAATGATCATATGTTCAAGGACTTTTTGGTTATGGTATGTTTGAAGTTCATGAACTGCAGAAACTTAGATATTTGATTTGATTTTTCTGAAGTTTTGTTTGATTTTCAAAGTTTGGTGTCTGATAGGTACTTTCTGTGGCAAAAGCATTGTCAATTCAGGCTCACCCAGACAAGGAATTGGCAAAAGTTCTACACAAGTTGCACCCAAATCTTTATAAGGATGACAATCATAAACCTGAGATGGCTTTGGCCCTAACAGAGTTTGAGGCCCTCTGTGGTTTTATCAGTCTTGAGGTAGTCAGTTGATCTCTTTCTTTTTTGCATACATCTAATTTGCAAACTCTATCAGTTGATTTTTGTTCATTGGTAGTGCTGTGAATCTTGGCTGAAATTGAAGGAATTTTAGAGGTCATACTGATGCATGTGAAGCAATAGGTCCCCTTAAATTCTTTGTTTTTTATTCTATGAGAAATCTAAAGATTTAGTTAAATGGATGTGATTCTACCATCCTTAACCTGTATCTTTTGGTAATTCTGTTATTAATATTACTAATGGGCTAGAACCTGATGATCCTCAATTGTAATAATTATCAGTTTGGCAAAACTTAATATCATTTGACCATGATTTGTTTTGATTGCATCGTTAAGATGATGAGAAACTTTGAGTTCCTTATAGTTTATTGCTGCACTTCTGGATTGCTTAAATTTGTGAGAGAATTACCTGACCAGGAGATGGTTATCTGCAGACTGCAGACATATTTGAAAACCCACGACTTCTCAATGTTATTTAGGAACTTATTAATAAAATTAGGGTCAAATCTATCTATCTTGTATCTATTAGGTCTGAATGGGCACCAGTGTTTCTCTTAGTCAATCAAGGCCATGATAACTTCCTTTTGACAACCTTGACTTTCCTTATTATATCTCCACATGCATTTTTTATTATTATTAATATATTTGTCGAAACTATATCCATTTTTTCATCTACTTGATGCAATTGATATGTTTTCCAGGAGCTTCAAGGCGTGCTTCGAGATGTTCCTGAGATTGTAGAACTGGTTGCCAGTGCAGAAGCAAACCAAGTCTTGCAATTCAACGAGCAAGATCATGAGGAAAAAGTAAAATCTGTTCTGAGATCAGCTTTTACGCAACTTATGTCAGCAAGCAAAGAGATGACAGCTGAAGCAATATCCAAATTAAAAAATAGATTGTCTATGGAAAGCGAGGTTAGTTGAGAATTTATTGTGCTATTTTGTAAGGTGATCTGAATGCTGCGACAAACTTGTCTAATAGCTTTGCAAGTAGTATTAAAGGCATTCATGTTAAGTGTTTCTTTCTTGAATAAAAAGGATAGGCAAGACATCTAACAAAAGAATTGTAGTAAAGAATAATTCATGTTTAAAGTCTCTTTCTTGAATAAAAAGGATAAGACATCTAATAAAAGAATTGCAATAAAGAATATTTTATTAATGACTTGTTAAGCAATATCATTCTTGATTTTCTGTCATGCTATTGATTTTCCCTTGATTTTTCAACTCAAGTTTTTTACCTGTCAGATAAGGCAGCTGACAGGAAAGGAACAGCTGGTCTTGCAGTTAGAAAAGCAATATCCAGCTGATATTGGTGTCATATCAGCCTTCTTTCTTAATTATGTGAAGCTCAATCCTGGTGAAGCTTTGTATCTCGGGGCAAATGTACCCCATGCATATCTATATGGTGAGTGTATTGAATGCATGGCAACCTCAGACAATGTTGTGAGGGCTGGTCTTACGCCCAAGCACCGGGATATCCAAACTCTTTGTTCCATGCTCACATACAAACAGGTAACTAATGCATACCTGTGTGTGCTTCATCTGTTAAAAATCTATATGAATATGTTAATTTTGTTTAAATTTGATAATCATGTTGGGCTTTTTTAATCAAGTCTCTTGCAGTCACTTATAGCATGTAGTCCTCCCAAAATTATATGCCTTGCATTGAATAAATAAATAAATAAATAAAAATTATACATTAGAAAGGGCTAAAAGAAGAAGATGACAAAATTTTCTCAGCATAATGGTTTTAAACCCTGGACATTTTTATACCATAGGAATGAATTTATATGACTAGTATGTAGAAATATACTTTTTAGTGGCAAAATAGGAGATTCGTACATGGAGAAAGAAGAACTGTGGACACCCTCTCTGCGTAAGAACCTGGACTTTCTTTTTCAAGTGGGCGCTCATGGCCATTGAGTCGTAAACCTTGACCAAATTGTGATGGATTGCACGTAAAGCAGTATTTGAAGTTTGATTGTTCCGTTGTGGTTATGTGATGTCTATTCACTTCCTTGCTGCCCTTCACTCGGGTTAAGAATTAATAAGATGCTGCTATGGATAGTGTTGCATCAGCATGCTTCTAAACACATTCAAGAAAATACAGTACTTTTGTCATTTGTCATAAAGTACCAGAAAGGAACTTTAGCTTTAAGAATGCAGGGGGGATTTTTTTCCTAAATTTGCTTTTAGTGGCTTTGTCTAGGCAATGTTTTGTTGCATTAATGATGATGCTGGTTCTGATCCAGGGCTTCCCTGAAATCTTAAAAGGATTTCCTTTGAGTCCATATATAACAAGATACCTCCCCCTTTCGATGAATTTGAGGTGGATCGTTGCATTCTTCCAGAAGGGGCATCAACAGTATTTCCTGCGATTCCAGGTCCATCCATTTTTCTTATCATGGTTGGGGAGGGTGCAATGTGCACAGGATCATCCAAAGATGTAGTTATGGAAGGAGATGTCCTATTCGCACCTGCCAACACTGAAATTATGGTATCAACTGCATCCGAGTTGCATCTGTATAGGGCAGGAGTGAATAGCAGAGTCTTTCAAATCTTGTGAGTTGGCAGATGCGGAAGCTTTCAGTTTTAGGATTGATTCAGTTTCGGCCCCTCTACTATTTATTTTCAAGATTGTATTTATTTATGTAAAGTATCATATTCGAACTTAGCATGTAAACGCAACTGACGTATGGTAAAAGTTACATAATCATATATAAAATCATCTGAGCACCTGTTGTATACTGGTTTCTTTGTCTTTCCAATTTGGCTCATCACGCTGATGCAAAATAGCAAACATTTTCAACTCCTCTCCGAGGACCTTGTGGTGTACTAGGATGGTATTTCGAAGTATAGTACAGGAGAGTTTACTCTTAGAGGCTTGGCTGGGTGGTAAGTGGCTTTTGCTCTTTACACAGTTTCGGGTTTGAATTCAAAGGAATGCTGCAAGAAGGAAATAAATTCAGAGGATTGCTGTGAGATGGAAATTTTCTCTTATGAATACAGATCTACATAATGCTGGACCGAGGAAGGACTTAGGTTTGGCATGCTCTATCTGAGAGTATCCTTAATTACTGTAAAAATAATGAGTTATTCTAATTTTCTCTTACAACGAAGCATTTTTAACTCAAATTCTCTAAAGATTTTAGTCAATTAATTTTTTTTTTTGTCATAGACAGAACTCTATGGTTCATAGTCATCATGTCAGCCCAAAATAATTCACGGATGTAAATTGAATTGACCATTATTGCAAAAATGCTGAACGGCCTCCTCTTGCAATAAGTCATTTTTCTTTAACTCAAACTCTACAAAAGAACACTTGAACCTATGATTCAATTGCAATTTGCAAGTGCAAGTAGTTGCAATGAACTGCCAAGGTAGAAATGTTATAATACAACCTCAAACTCCAAAAAAGTTAAACTCCGTTTTTCTTTCCTTTTCGTCCATAACACCACCATCATAAACTTCTAAACTTGTTTTTTATGTGTTCATTTGTACTCTTCAAAATATTGTTAGTACATTTTCTTGTTGTAATTTTCATATGCCTTATGATATAGGTTTATAGTAGTCGGTTGTACATGATATGCTGAGTATCTGGTAGAATAAAATCATTCTATAATTTTATAATTAAAATTATTTATTTAATTAATAGTTTCTAATATTTTTCATAATTTTTCTACTTAAAAAAACAGAATTTATTTTCTTTATGGATTGATTCTTAAATAAAAACTTGTAATAATTTAAATTAAAATATTAACCAAGAAATCAATAAAAATATATTTTCTATAAGATTGTATCCGAAAAATAAAGTTATAATTAATGGATAGACTTGTATAAAAATTAACAACTAAAAAAATTATTTTTTATTTTTATTTAATGTTGATGAGAAGATTAAATTTTAAAATTACATGGGATCCACTACAAGTCGGATAGAACAAAATTATTTCAAAAATTTATAATTTTTTCATTAATTTTTTATTTAATTAATTTTTTATGTTTTTCATAAAATTTCTACTTAAAAAAACAAGAATTATTCTTCTTTGTATATTGATTCTTAGATAAAAACTTGCAATAATTTAAACTAAAATATTAATCAAGAATTAAAAAAACTTTTAAAATATATAATTTTTATAAGAATTTATCCAAAAACTAAAGTTATAATTAATGTATAGCTTTGTATAAAACTTAATTAATAAAAAAATAAATTTTTATTCTTAGTTAATGCTATTGAGAAGATTGTTTTTTAAAAGTATATGCATTTGATCTATATGTATATTTATTTACGGAATAATCAATAATATTAGTATAAAAAATAGCATTTGAATTATCGGGTATTTTTTTTAAATATTTTAATTATTTTATTTCAAAAAAATTAGTTTTATAATATTTTAAAAAATATTCATAGCAAATAATTGCTCGTTATGTATGAACATGTATAGTTCATTTTTAATAAAACCGATGATTCAATAGTTTTTTATACGTTTTTACCATACTTAGTGGATCGAGACTAATTATCCGAAATATACTTTTAACCATTTAGATTAAATTAATTATATATTTATATAAATGTAGCTATCATTTCAAAAATCTAAGAATTCACTATATATATATATATATATATATATATATATATATATATATATATATATATATATATATCCATTTATTTAAAAAAAGAAAAGAAAAAATAATCATGTTTTAAAATTTATTCTAAAATTCAAATATAGAAAAAAATCATATTTATTAGTAAATAAAATTATATATAAAAAATATTAATTGGATGAGAATTTTTATGAGAAATGACAAATTCAAAGAATAAAGTTTAAATATAAAAGTAGTATAATCCGAAATATATATTAATTTTAAAATATAAAAAGGCGAGTATAGATTTGTCATCGCTACGCTATGCGAAAAGTACAAAAAATAATGTTCGATGTTCTATAATTTTTGCCTAAAAAATCATAATTAAAAAAAAAATGAGGACCAAGCCCTCGTGTCCGGGCTCGGAGTAAGTAGTCCACATGGGCCTAAGAAGAAAAAAGTTGCTTGTTTTTAATTTCCAGCAACTATCGTAACTTTTTACGAACTTGATTTTGCGGGAAAAATCACTAAAAAATCGAGTTTCTTAATTTACGGCCTCTCAAAGCAAAATTCAGCTATGTACAACACCTTAAAATCACGAAATAATATAAACAAACTTGTTTAGAATCTCAAAACTCATTTTAATGCACATAAAAATTCAAATCAAAATAAAAATTAAAATATTTTTGGATCCCAATCTACCTCTAATCATTTCATCGCTTGTCACTCGCTACAAACATACTCTACTCTTTAAGACAAATAAATTGGTGGTAAGATCGACCGTCGAATGGCTAGAACGGCCTTATCATCCCTCTCCCTCTCTCTTTATCTCTCTTTATCTTTCATTTCTCTCTCTTTTTAGCATGTAGGGACTAAAATAAAGGAAAATGAAGTTACAAATCATAAAAAAAAATGTTTAAAAATGTAATACCCTCGACGTAAAAGAGGCCAAGAATGCCATTGGTAATGCCTTACATCCAAAGTACAATAAATGCGAGACACTAAGCCTCATTTCCTCTATCTCATTTTTGAATTACAATGCAAAACAGAAATCCTTGGTTTTAAGTTTAAGGCAATTTTTTGTTTTATCATATTAGAACCAATGCTTTAACACAAATGAAAAATCATTTGATTAACTATCAAAACATATTTATATATTAACATATCCATTAACATAACTAAATCATCCAAATGTAACATAAGGTTACAAACCAAAAGTGGCCAACATATAAACATGAAGGTCATCGAACCTAAGTAGTGTTTAAACTTTAACTTTAACCTATATGCATATAGTACACACTCGGCAAACTTAGCTCCTTATGTCAACATCTTCAAATTTACAAGCATGCCATCATGCATCACTTTGTTCACCTAAATCACAAGACAAATGGTGAGCTAATGCTCATTAAGTGTAATTATACAAGAATGCAAATAAATTTATTTTTTATGAGACTAAGATACGTTTTTTGTCATCCTCATAAAAAGTATATACTAAATCATTCCTTTTGTGAGTCATGATTAAACATACCAAGAGTATACACGGATCATTCCCTTGGCATGCTCCTTATGAAAACATACAAAGAGTATACATCGGATTATACCCTTTGTATGTTATCATGCGTTGTGAACCATGATTGAACATACCAAAAATATACACCGAGATCATTCCTTGGCATGCTTCTTATGAAACATAAAAAGAATACACCGGATCAATCCCTTTGTAAGCCTTTTTTAAAAATATGAACATGACTTTTCTTTGAATGCTTGAAATCATGATAAACCATTTTTATGACATGAATGCAATTATAGCACTTTTCTCAAATCATTACATGAACATAAATCAAGTAATATTAAACAAGTCATGAGGCCGAAACCAATCAAGGAACAAACCAAGGAGAATGAATTCAATACGTGAATCGAAACTTTTTATGACTTCATAAGTATTCCCATCATCAATCAAACACATAAATATTCAACCAGGTAACCCAAAATAATCAAATATACCATAAGATTTTAATCAGCCAATAATGTGAACATGTAACCTAGCGACATCAAAAAACCATATAGGTCGAAAGCACCCTAAGACACCTTCCAAATTTCAATTATCCAACTAAACACATGATTACTTATCACATAACCTCATGAATATTCAATCCTCAATTAACACATGGATGCAAATCAAATAACCTCAAGAAAACTCTTAACCAAAAGCATCAACTAACACCATGTACAAGTAACCAATTTCAAGAAACTCATATGCACTTACCCAAGTAGCATTAAGTATTGGCATAACCGAAATATCCAAGTATCAATACAAGTGTGTAATCATTCAATAATCATATAAATACATAATCAAGCAACTAAAAAATCTAAAACCATCATGATTATTAATACACATATGGATATAAATTCAAGTAACTTCAAGTTGTCACTTAGCCAAAACTATTTACAATCCCTATAATTATGCAACGATTAAGCTACTTCATAAATTCAAAATCTCTAGAACTTCTATTTCTTGCCATGAGTTAACATGTGCTAATCATCTTATCAATTATCAAGAAAACATAACATCACAATCGATCAATCACCAATTAAATTCAACGATCAGTTAAACATATAAACACAACGATCCTATAACTTTTATGTCTTGTGACGTAGTTAAGATGAGATTACACTTACCTTAAGGTTGAATTAGAGTTTCTAGTACCCTAAAAGCTCTCAAAATCACTTCTTCCTTCTTTGTTGTTGCTCTAAACCAAGCTATGCAATTTCTTTCTCTCACTCGGCTAACATTCTTCATCTCTTCCTCTCAACCGAATTGGTCTCCTCGGAAAATCAGTTTCTTTCCTTATTTTTTTTTTATGTTTTTTAAGGCTAAAATGTCCTTAAGATGGTTTAGAAACCCTTTCCCTTTTTCTTTTTCTCTTAGCCAAAATTTGGAAGGTTAAAAAAAGCTAGAATTGTCACTTGTATTAGTATTCT